AAAAGGGCTGAGGATGTGGCTCAGTGTTTAAGTGCTCCTGGTTCAACCCCAGCAACCCCCCCCCCCCGCCCCGACCAAAAAAGAAGTGTCAGGCACACCATGCCACTTTTCCATTAAAAAAGTCAGGCAGCAGTGTTGAGGGTGAGCAGAGAGCAGCCGCAGCTGGCAGTTCTGGCCCAAAGCCCAGCAGGACCTCAGTGCCCACTCCCCACCGGGCCAGCCCTGTAGGGCAGCTCAGCTGCGGGAAGGGAGGCCACTCTGCTTCATGCACTGGCTGACCAAGTGTTCAGGGCCCGGAACAGACATCCAGGTGCTGGGATTGCAGTGAGCTGCCACCCAAGAAATGGCCCTCCTGGGAGCAGCGGCCTCCTGGAGGCGCACACAACCCAGAGATAAAGGAAGGGACAGCCTCGGCATGGGGTGGGGGGCCACTGATTAATTTGTCCATTGAAATGGAAAGCATACTTCAACACCACCAGCTGTGTAGCACCCACTCTGCTGCCAGCTCCCTGCACCAGGCTGCAGGACCTCACACGCCTGGTGACCGTCTTGGGAGGAGAGCTGTGGTAGACACTGCAGATGGTACCCTGACTTCTAGGCCATCCAGAATAAGGACTGTTTCCCAGCTTCTCCTGCAGCCAGAGGGTCACGTGATCATGTCTGGCGCCTGGATGGAAAGTTGCCTTGTACATAAGTCTTCTAGGACATGCTCTTCAAATGGCAGCTTGAGCCAGGCACTGTGTCGCAYGCCTGTAATCCCGGCGATCTGGGAGGCTGAAGCAGGTGGATTGCAAGTTCAAGGCTAGCCTCAGCAACTAAGCAAGACCTTCTTTCAAATAAAAAATAAAAAGTGCTGGGGGGGGGTATGGCTCAGTGGTAAAGTGCCCCTGGATTCAATCCCCAGCACCAAAAAAAAAGAGCTTGATCAGTGGCAGGCACCTGTAGTCCCAGCTATTCAACAAGCCGAGACTGGAACACTGCCTGAACCCAGAATTTCAGAGCAGCCGTGGGCGGCTGGACGGCACATTAAAAAAAAAAGAGTGGGGAGCTTGCTCTTCTTGCTGAGATCCTTCTCCCAACTGGCCTGCCGTGAAGGCTGGGCCTAGAGCAGGCTGAGACTCTGAGGGAGAAGCCAGGCGAAGGAGGCTGGGCAGCTCCCGAGGGCCGGGTCCTGTGCCCAGGGACCTGTTGCGATGCCCTGCCTGCGCTGCCTGCCTCCAGGTTGCCAGATGAAAAATTCCTGTTTTGCTTAAGTCACATTTTTTTCCATTTGCTTTTTTTTTCTTTTTGAGGCGGGGGGCACTTACCCACTGAGCCACATCACCAGCCCCCCCTTTATATTTTTTTAGAGACAGGGAGTCTCACTAGAGTCTCACTAATTGCTGAGGCTGGCTTTGAACTCTCCATCCTCCTGCTTCAGTCTCCAGCCGCTGGGATTACTCATACTTCAAATTAAAATCCGGGGCCGCAGACTCTTTCTAAGCCTATCTTTTTCCCATGCTGAGAATCCTGGTCATCAAGGGCACCAGGGAAGCCACTACTAATTTTTGCTTTTGTCACCATGACTAAACCTAATCATGACTGCTGGGAGGGGCTGTGGGCCTGCCGCTGTGGCCTGGGAGAGGGTCTGGTCACTCCCACGGAGGGCAGGGAGGGCACGCACGAGGAGCCCTGTGGGTTCCCAGGGCGGGAGGTGGGGTGGACTCTCAGGACCAGCTCCTGCTGCCTGCCACTCTTGGGGAAGGGAAACTGCAGGGGACAGCTCAGGACAGTTAAGCCACAACAGGCACAACGGCCACCACCTCCTATCACCGGGCACCTCTGTCCCAGGTGCTGGCCGCTCCAGCCTCTCCTCACACCCTCACCTCTAGGGCCACGACCTGGGGACACCATTTGGCTTCTTTTTTTCCTGAGTGTCTCTTTGGGAATGAGGGGACAGTTTGAACTCCCCCAAGATAGCCCTCTTTCTCTTGCCCTCGGGTCAGGCCCACCCCTCAGCACTCCTCAGGCAAGAGGCGGGAAGTCCAGGAATGGCCAGATCCAGGGTGCGCCATTGGACATGGCCTCCCTCCGTGAACACTACGGGTTCTCTTAGCAAAGGTGAGGCCGCAGCAGGGGGAGGAGGCCGGGACCCGGGCTGGCACACAGGGGTCAAGGGAGTGTGTTGGTACTGTGGGAATTCTTCTGTTTTTAAACATTTAATTTGTGCTTTTTAGGTACACACGATAGTAGAGTGTATATAAAGGACATGTCACACCCRGAGTGTGGCTTCCCATTCTTGTGGTTGTGCATGATGTGGAGTGACACTGCCCTGTATCCAGATATGCACACAGGAAGGTTCTGACCCTTCCACTGTCCCCTTCCCCCATCCTCCTTTGTAGTCCAGCCCCCCCCTCCCCCGCGTTGGCAGCCGCCCGGCCGAGGACGTTAGCCTACGAAGCTATTCCACCACCTCCACATCCAACGTACATCGAGTTCACAAAATGGGTTATATCTTACTTCTACTTTTAACATCTATCAGGCGCTTTAGAACAGCTAGAAAGTCTACATTTTTTTTTAAGTCCTTAGCATCGACGACTATACATACGGTCACGAGGAGGAAAGCGCACCCACAAAACACTTCTAAACGCCCCGACAGRCGAGGTGTTTCAGGTGAGGACGCCRTTTGTCCACTACGTAATGACAGTCGTCCTAGGTAAACGGCACACGTGTAACGGTAGTTCTTGCGAGCCCTCCGGCCCTCCACGCCAGGACTACGGGTGCCACTGTTCGAGGACTGCCCTTCCTAGACTTCCTTTTTTTTGGTACCCTCGCCCACTGAGCCGCACCCCAGCCCTATTTTGCATTTCATTTACAGACAGGTCTCCTGAGCTGCTTTTTTTCTCCCCTGAGGCTGGCTTTAAACTCAGATCCTCCTGACTCAGCCTTTCAGCCACYGGGATTACAGGGCACTGCACCCGAAGCTTAGGAATCTTATCACAAAACGCACAGAATGTTTACTAATCCCACTTTTGTCATATACTTGCAATCTTGTTAGCATCTGGAAAACTAGATGTAGAGTAGGACTCCTGTGTCCTTTATAACACTATGTACACAGCAAGTAAAACCAAACCCGGGCGCGGGACAGTGCTCTGCCCCACCTCGCGTAAGCCCCCGTGCTCCCAGCCCAGCACCCAGTGAGCGCCACTCCACAGGGCGTGGTCACTGCCCCTCCAAATCATTTATATTTTACTTCTGTTTTTAACATTTATCAAGCACTTTAGATTTTTCAAAAAAAAAAAAGTACTCAGCATTGTCGACTCCACATACGGTCACGAGGAGTAAATGCACACACAAAACACGGCGATAGTATGAAAAACGCCTTTCACATACAACTTGTCTCCACAGGACCCCTCTTGTCACGGTCAAAGTCTTCTCCATGTCCTCYAACCCAGTATGTGTATTTCTCAAAGCATGTTCGCAAAATTCTACTCCTGAAATTTACATTTAGCTCCCCTGTGGGAAGAGTGGGGACCACAGGGTCCCCGGCTTTGTGCCAGACCTTCCTTGGCCCCCAGGTCTAAGGAAATGGCTTCTTCTCTCGACTGCTCCCAGGGGTGTGGCTGGGGCATTATGTAACACGGAATGCTGCCTGGGCGAATCCTGCTTTCCACTCCCAGTCCTGTCACTTCAGTCTCCCTACACTGAGGCTGTGACAGCCATCACTTGTCACCACACTTGTAGTTCTTCTCCGGACTCAGGTCTCTCCAGCATCAGTGGGCAGAGGGGAGGGGGCTGAGGCCTTGTGGGCAGTCCCCTACTGCTGCCACCTGCATGGCTGTTAGTTCAGAAAYGGGACAAGGGGCGATGGGGGATGAAGARAAGACAAAGCCGGGGTCCGGTGGCTCTCCATCCCCCRGAGCCAGGCCAGCATGTTTATCATGGCCTTTGGGAAAGTTTCTTCAACACAAGAAGGACAAAGGTCGCGGTTGCAGGCAGCCCAACGTGACCAGACTCTGCTCACAATTCTTCACCCCTGCAGCTAGTGTCTGAACTGGAGTCAGAAGTGACAGTCCCATGACAGGCATCACCACAGCTAACTGGGCAGTCTCACCTGGGCCTTTGCACAAGTTCCCAGCTCAGATGCGCTCCTGTCGCCGGCTTGAGGACCGTAATTTGGATCGCTGCTCCCAACACCCCGTCTGTGGCTGCTGGCACCTGGGCAGCCTGGGCCAGGTCGTGTTCTGGGGCGACTTCTCCCCCTTCATGGCTGTGGCGGGACAGGATGCGGTGCAGGCCTGGGAGAGATGAGGCCCGCCCCGCCCCCSATGGGCCAGAACAGGGAGCGGGTTCGCCCCACGTTCTAGATTCGTTTTCGTTTCTTTTTTGCGCCTCTTCTCACAGAAGCTTCAGATGCCCCTGGACGGACGTGCAARCTCAATTCATGCCCAGCCACTGCCACTGCCTCCTCTCCCAGGAGGGGGACAGGCAGCTTCTGCAGCTGTGTGGGCTCAGTGGAGACGATCTGCTTAATTGTCAGGCAACGGCCACCACAGGTGCCATCCTAGGTGGCCCTGCCACCAGCTTGGGAGATGGGCTCCTRCACCGTGAGAAGCCCAGGCGGCCACCTTGGCCTCATATTTCTCCTGGGGGCAGAGGCAGGAACCAGATCCGGCCCTCGTCATGCCAAGTCCCCGYTGCCAGGCACTGCCCTTCACGGGACTGTTCGCTGCTGGCCCAAGAAGCTGTGTGACCASAGTGAGCCCAGGAGTGCAGGACCTGTATGTGCAAAGCCACGTGAACACGGACACAGAAGCCCGTTCGGATTCGGCAGCATTTTTATTTCTAAATAAATATCCAGTGACATGACTTTTCCAATCCTGAATCCTCAGTCCAGGGAGACAAGCAGGGGCCCAGCAGCACAGCCGCCCCACCCAAWGCAGCCACCATCCCCTGCAGCCAGGGCCCCCAGTGCCTGGCCCCAGTGTGTTCCCTGTTTAATTGTTTTTTCCTCCCTGGGGTCCTTAAAGAAAAAATAAACAATGAAAAACCCAAACTKAATTACACAAACCTTAATTTTTAGAGAAAATATGAAAAAAAACACAAGACTCCTATTGGCCGTGAGAAAAGATCAGGCCTTGTGGGAACTGTAGCGGGGGCACTGGAGCCTCTGGTGGAGGCTGGGGCCTCCCAACCATCCCTCCCTTGTCATGTGCAAGTGGCTTCTTTCCTCTGGCCACCAAGCACATTTTTCCTTCCAGCCCCACAGCCCTGAGGGGCTCCCAGCAGCCTCCTGCCTGCAGAGCTGAGAGTCCACACCGTGGGTAAGGGCCCTGGGATGGTGGGGAAATGGGATGGGGCAGGCCATGTTAGAAAGTCTTTCCTCGGTGGCCCATGAATATGCATTTGAGAAACGGTGGGAACCAGCCAGGAGCTAGCTCCTTATTCTCTGGGAGCCTGTACTTAGGCCTGGGCCCTGGAGGTGGAGTCCTGGGAGGACACCCTAATGACTCTGGCTGCAGTGTTGSGAACATCCCAGATTCAGCTTCTGACGCTCCAACCAGCAGGGGAAACACATGGCTGCATTTTRGAGGGAATGGGGAGGGGACCCTATTTTGTATTTTAAAATCCTACCCTATAGCAGAGAGCTATGAGATTCTCCAGCTGGAATCGGGGGCAACTGTCTACCTGGGCTTTGCCAGTCCCTGGACTGCCAAGCTASTGGGGTCCTGGAACAGCTACCCTGCTGAGAGCTCTGCCGGGGTGTGCGTCCAGGGAAACAGGGACCAAGACTCAGGAGGCCAGGTCTTGCTGAGGCATAGGGATATCTGGCCAGCGTCAAGGAGGCCCCCACTCGCCCGTCTGGCATCCACCGCACACAAAGGCATATACGTCTGCGCTGCCTGGGGCTGCCACGTTCTGGGCCAGGCAGGGCCCTGCTACAGCCCCACTGTGAGAGGGCCGGTGGCTTGGGCTGAGGACTGGAGGGCTTCGGCTCTGCTCCTGGGCTGAGAGGCTGGGCACCAATGGGCTCAGCTGTCCCCAGCCTGGTCCAGCCCACAGCTGACTTGACCCCTGGGGACTTAGGAAAAGCTCCTGAAGACTCCAACCTCAAGTTGCAGGGTGTGGTTGTTCCAAGAGGTCCTACAACCACAGGTGACACTGAGCGTACGATTTATCCCAGGAAGTGGGGTGTCGGGGGCACAGGCCTGCTGTGGCACATCTTGGTTTACTGGCTACAGGGCCAGCATTCCCAGGGGCACTCATGGCTCTTACCTCACTCTAAAGCAATACCTTCTGAGCCACAGCTGTCCTGYCTCTTGGCTAGATCTGAAGCAGGCGGGAAGGTATAGCAAAACTGGATCCTTTTATATCTTCTACATTTATTTACCGCCTGAAGTGATACTCCACCTGAAAAACACACCTCCAGGGCCTTCTGCTTACTACAAATCGAAGCTGGTCACCCTCAACTCTGGGGTTGCTCTTCCAGGCTGCTAAACCCTCCCTTAYCAGCAGGGGGCAGAGGAGACTCACAGGAGACCCAGGCTAGTGCTGGTAGCGCCCAGGAAAGGTCCCACCCTCCCCACCAGCAAAGCCTGGTGGCCTTTCCACYAGACCCCACAGATGCTCGCCACCATGACATTCTCAGGTCTCAGCAAAAAGTGGGAGGACAAGGCATGTTGTGGCTGGGCCATTGGACCTGATGACAATAGTCTGAACTGAGAAGACTCCATCTGTCTCATTGCTTCGTCTATAAATCTAAGATTAAAAAAAGAAAATCTTGGCAAGTTACTGAGCTTGCAAAACAACCTTCATCTCTGATATCAGACCCTGGATTTCAGGGGAGAAGAGAAGTTAGCTCTGAGCTGGGCTAAGCCATCAACCTGGTCTCAGCTCCCTGCCTATTCTCAGGCAAGGGCGAAGGTCCCCTTCTCTGACCTCTTCTTCCACAGCAAAGAAATGTGGAAAACAAAATTATGCAAGGCAATGGGATGGCTTGAACTATGGGGTCAAGGTGTGGGACTCTAGGAAGGAAAAGACCACGCGTTAGCTCTATCAAGCACAAACTCACTTCTCATGCATAAAAGCAAACGCRGCTTCCTGCCTGACAGCGACAAGTTCTAGGCAAGGTGAGCAGTGAGGGCTGGGCCTGGCAAAAATCCTAGGGGGTCTGCAGTCGGTCCAACCCGACTTCCAGAGTCACCCTGCCTGGGGCACAAGACAGGGAAATACACCTTCTACCAGTCCAAGGCATGCTGGCCCATACAGACCTGGGCCCACAGTGTCCCACTGAGAGCCAAGGACATGCACGTGATGAACTGAATCACCTGAGGGTTCTGCTCTCGACTCCAGCTGGGACCCGGAGCCACAGGGGAACGTTGTCCACGCCTGTGGATGGGCGCAGTGGAGCAGTTACACGAAAGGTGGGTGGGAACGGGGTGTGGGTCACATGGAAACGACTGGCAGCTTCTCACCCTGAGGTGGCAGGGGAGGCAGGGCCCGAGACGGTACCTCTGGGTGGGGAGCTGGCACCCCAGCATGGGAGAYGGACAGAAACCAAGATGGTGGGGAAATGAAGAGAACAGAACCCTAAACAGCAGTGAAGGTGGCAGCAGGTAATGGCAGGTGGACATACAGCTGGCAAAGGACCTCGGACTGGATGAACGAGAACACTGGAGCACCAGGACCCAGCGAGGGAGACGGGATGCCGGCCGAGGCAGGAGGCTACCAGACTCCTGGACTTGGTAAAGTGCATCAACTGAAACGGAATCAAGGCAGCCATGGCTGGCCACAGACACCATTTTCCAGCTTCTCTCTAGGGGGCGCTCTGACCCCACAAAAGAGCCCAATGCCCCAGCCTGAGACCCAGGACTGCAGCTTCCAACCAGGCTCAAAGAARGGCCCAGCCCTCAAGGTGGGCACTAGTGTAAACATTCACGATAAGCCCAGAGCAGGGCAGCAGCTGCCTGCCCCGGAAGACAGGCGGTGAGGTGCCAATCAGAGGTAAAGAAAAAGGGTCGCTCAGTTTTTCCTTCTCAGGGGGTTGAGGTTTCTGGCTTTCTGAGCCTGCACGAGGSTCAGAACCACTGCTGCCGCCACCGACTCTGCTCCTCACCAGCCCCTGGAGCAGACTCAGCTGGGGAGTGGCACCGACTCAGACCCTGACCCCCAGGCTCCAGGTTCAGCGCTCCCTGCAGGCCCTGGCTMGGGCTTCCCTGTCCAGGCGGAACCGCTCTCTTAGGGGCTGCACAGGGGCTGCAGAAGCAGGAGGGGGCACTACCTGTGACGGCGGCCACTCCACTTTGTGGAGGCCCTGCTCAGTGAGGAGTGGGGAGATGAGTGTTTCCAAAGGCCTGGAAAACTGCAGGCTAAGAAGATTCCGCAGCCTCATGTCACTCTCCTTCTGACACCCTGAAGAGGCTGCCAAGTGCAAGTACTTCCAGGGCCACGCTCCGTGTCTGTGGGTGGCAAGGCCCGCCTGGGCCCTGTCTGCCAGAAGGCGCGGCACCCAGCTCGGTCAGAACAGCTCCTGCTCGTCGTCCTCAGAGCCCGACGGGCCCTGGCGCACCTCCTCATACCACTTGTTGGTGAGGCTCTTCATCTGGATGCGCCCATGATGGAGGTCCTGGGGTGGGAGATGAGATGAGCCTGGTCAGTGTGGAGGAGGGGCTTCCCCTGGGCTTGGGGGGGGCAGGACAAGGCACCAGGCAACGGCAGAGTGTTAAGCAGCCAGCTTTGGGGGCACCAGGAGGGGCCCCTGAGAAACAGGAGGTGAGGAGGCAGATGGTGTGAGGATAAAAATGTGGCACCTCTGCCCCTTTCAGCAACTTAGTGAGACCTTGGCTCAAAATGAAAAATAAAGCTGGGCGTGGTGGCTCATGCCTGTAATCCCAGCAGCTCAGGAGGCTGAGGCAGGAGGATCGTGGGTTCAAACCTCTGGCTTTTAGAAGATTAAAAGGGAGGCACTAAGCAACTCAGTGAGACCCTGTCTCTAAATACAACAAAAAGTAGGGTGAGGATGTGGTTCTGTGATCAAGTGCCCCTGAGTTCAATCCCCAGTGACCCCACCAACTCCCCAAAAGAAAAATGGCCAAAGATGGAGCTCAGCAGTAGAGCACCCCTGGGTTTAATTCCCAGCACCCCCCCCCAAAAAAAAAAAAAAAAAAAAAACCCAAACCCCTGCAGCCTTTAGAGTTATCTTCATGCTGGCTGCGTGGCCTCTTGGGCTGGAGCGGGGGCTACTCCCTGGACCTCAGTTTCCTCGATGTCAGGGAGACCACGGCTGCCTCCTGCAGGTGGCTGGGGTGGAAGGTGGTGCTGCAGTGTGGCCCCTACTTCGTGCTCACGTTCTGACAGCTGGCACCACGGCCTGAGCAGCAGAAGGTGCTGGGTGGCTGGAAGAGCCCCAGCCCCAGCGCAGGGGCGTCCACACTACCTAGCAGTGCACCATGGCTCCCTGAGGCCCTSGCCTGCCTGAAACTTAGCCCAGCTTCAACAGCTGATCAAGGCCCGGAGCCATCAACTTAGGAGAACCAAACGCGTGAACAGGCTGGTACCARGTGAAGAGCAAATCCGCAGCCAGGGAAACAGCAGCTGCCGCTGCACCCACACCCAGCCTGGGAGGCGCTCTCGCCACACTCCCTCCCCAGCCCTCGGCCAGCCCTCCTGAGGGGAGGCAAGGTCCCACCTCTTGTGTCAGCCTCCGTGTGAAGAAGGGGTTCAGGTACTTGGCRTCCAGCCACATGAAGCCCTTGAGGTCCTGCCGCCGGATGTAGTGGGCCTCGTACTCCTCCTCGGTGAGCTCCGACAGGTGCTCGGACTCGATGGTGTTGCCCTGGGGGACGAGCAGCCGGATGCGTCAGCGGGCACTAACTGGAAGCCCCACACCACTACCTAGAGGCTTCTGCCCCAGGTCACCAGTGTCCCCAACCCGAAGTGCCTCACACCCAGGCAGGGTGAATGTGGGTACAAACAGCCTCCTGGGAGCCCACGGGAGGTACGACAGTCTCTAAGGACATCATGGATGCCAGGGACGCCTCCTGGCGAGTCAAGTCAGAGGCTCTGGGGCCACTTGAGGGCAGCTTCTGCCAATCGAGTCAGAGCAGGGGAGGGGGGGGAACAGCTCCAGAGAGGGGTGAAGAAAGGAGCGGCTCCGGAAGGGAGGACCTAGTCTCAGGCACTGAGCGTCTTCCTGCGCTCCCCAAAGCCTCACCAACGGCCCCACCCTTGGCCAGGAGGCCCAAAGGCCAGCAGCACTGGGATGCAGGAGTTTCTGCTCTGCCGGAGGAAGCCGGACGAAGCCACGGAAGGTGCCTGCCAGTCCRCCACCTCGCCTCCAGCAGGCGTGCTGGCGTGTGCTCGGGAGCGGGGCGAAGGAAGTGCCTTCGGACGCTGTGGAGCAGTGGTTCCCACGCTCTGGCTCACGTCAGCATCACCTGGAGGGCTTGTTAAACCCCGAAACACTGGGCAGGAACCGCAGTTTCTGTCTCAGTAGGTCTAGGGTGAGGCCCGAGGATGTGCAGGTCTAAGTGCCCAGTGATGCTGCTGGTCTGGGACCCCACTGTGAGGACCACCAATGTAGAAAATGGTAATTTCGAGGGCTGGCGCTCGCTTAGCACGTGCGAGGCACTGAGTTCGATCCTCAGCACCACATAATTATAAATAAATAAAAAATAAAGGCATTGTGTCCAGCTACCACTCAAAATAAACATTAAAGAAAAGAGAAAGTGTTGACTTCGAGCTTAAATTGTGGGAGCTGTGGGACCTCAGCTGGGTGAGTGGGACCCTCCTGTGCCTCAGCATTCCCAGTGGCAAAATGGGGACCAGGAGAGCATCTGCTTCCTGCAGGTACTCAGGATGGCCGGAGACAGGCACATGCCTGCACCTGAGAGAGGCCCACAGCAGTCCCCCTGAGGACTCCCCTGGCCCTCAGCCAGCTGGCTCTCCAGGAATGGTGGCAGCAGCAGCAACTTGTAAGAAATGACCATTTTGGGGGCTCCTCTAGACCTCTAAGACCCTCGTGGTGAGGCCCAGTAACCTTGTGACGAGCCTGCCGTCCATTCTGATACTCAAGCAAATGTCTGACCCCCATGAGAGATTTTGTTAAAAACAAATAAGGAAGCTGGTGGGTGGGGAGAAAGGCCTGGGAGCATGCGAAAGGCCCTGCAGAGCCCTGTCCCAGCCATGGAAGMTTCCTTCCAGTGGCACAGCCCTGGCTGAGGCCCAGTGTGGAGGTCCCAGGACCAGCCAGGCCTGACCTCCATGTTAGACCAACAGGGAAAGATTTCTGTGACCAGTTACCAGTGGCCTCAAATAAGGGAACCAGAAAAAGATGCATTTCCTGAAACGTGGTGGGGGCGGGATGCAGGAGCCTGCAGGGAGGTCAGCAGGCCCACCTCTGCACAGGGCCTGAGGGTGAAGACACCGCAGGGAGGCACCAGGGCTGTTGGCCCAGAGGGCTGCCTGGTGGCAGGAGGGTGGCTTGCAGGAAGCAGAGGTGAGCAGGGAAATAGGAGTCTCAGCTGGACTGCAGCGGGCCCTGGACCCCTCCAGCCCCCAACAGGAGGTTTTCTGCAGAAGACATGATTTTGAAACCCTCCAGCCCTGGGTCCCGAGAGGTGGCTCTGCTACTAGCAGAGGAGGAATGTCCCCAGGGTCCCAGAGGGAAGTACCAGAGCTTGCCCGTGGCCTCATCAAACCCTGAGTCTGGACAGCCTGTCCACCCCAAAGTGCCTTGCTCCAGAACTCCAGTTCCTCCTCAGCACGGTGACTGCTGTGTGCTCCGCGATGCGTGCACGTGCATGTGTATTGCGAGCACGCACGTGCGCATCATGGAGATGCAGGGCACCCTAGAAGTCAGGTTGTTCCCCTGCCTCCTGGCAGCAGGCAGCGACCAGCGGGTCCCCAGCACGCCTGCCCCCGCCCCGCCCGGCGGCCGCCACTGACCATCTTCTCCGTCTTGCTGAGGTTGACGTCCTTCTTGCTCCTGCGGCGCGCCTTGGCGTCCTCGATGTCCATGAGGCGGATGAGGGGCATGGTGCTGCCGCCCAGCAGCAGGATGGTGAAGAGCACAATGACGATGGTGGTGGTGCCGATCAGCTGCCGCTTCTCCATGGGCTCCAGGTCCAGGTGCAGGCTCAGGGCATAAGGGATGGCCCCCCGCAGGCCTGGGGGCGGCAGGGTGGTCAGGGGAGCGCCTCGAGGCAGCAGGGCGGCTGCCCACCAGGTTGCCTGCACCACAGCCCACGCAGGCCGCARAGGAGTGGGGACGGGGTGGTGCTCCTCCACGGCTACAGACATGTGGTGAGGTGACAGACCCACTAGGCTGCAAGGCACAGGTGCCTGTGCAGGGAGGCCACCAGACCTGTGACTCATGCTGGCTGCTGTGGGCCAAGTGCTCCCGGGCACCCCAGGCCTAGGGCTTTGTGCACAGCAGTCTGCAGTGCGCTCCACCACACACTGAGCCAGCCAGAGCACAGTCGTCCCAGCCGGGGCCACCATGAACAGCAGCAGCACAGGCTGCAGTCGGAAGGTGCCCCCTGAATCTGAGGAGGCTGCCTGTGCTGAGCCCGCGGCAGTGCGGCAGGGCTCTGGCTGCCTGGTGGTGGTGACAGGCTCCTGGGGAGTGACAAGGGTGTGGACTGAGCAGGAGACAGCCCTTCACTCAGTCAGAAACTTCTGGCCACTCTGGTACCCCACAGCCAGACACAGGTGGCCCTGGCCCTGCCCTTGGGAGCTTCCAGAGTGGCTGGGAGGAGTGACCATCAACAAGGACGCAGGAGATGCTGAGTGCGGAGAGGAAGGGCGGGGCAGGGCCCACCCAGGTCCGGGATGGGGCAGGGGTGGTGAGGGACACAGGCAGGGTTCAGAGGCAGAGGATGAAGCCAAGGATGCCCCTGCTGCCCAGCCAGCGCTGCGAGCCTAGCGGCCCTAGACCTGTCTCAGCGAGGCCACGCTGGCCCACGAAGTCCAGGGAGGCACTCGGCAAGGTCTGCTCAGGGGAGCCCGATGAACCCYGAGCTCCCCAGGGAGTGATGACCTCGAGCACAGCAGGGCTGGCTATGTCCTGAGGTGGTGCCTGAGGAGACCCCACAGGGGAGAGGGCAAGGGGCCTGTGGGCCTCAGGCAGTGTGGGCAGCAGAGGAGCCTAAAGCCAGGAGGTGGCCAGGGCGGGGGCTGACTGGGCCCAGCAGGTTGGCTGCAGGTGGCACGGGTGACCAGGTAAGGCCAGTTCCGGGTGCTGGACAGGAGATGAACAAGTGGAGACAGTGAGCGAGGGTGGCCTGCCCCAGGTGGCCATGGTGGAGGAGGGGTCAGGGATGGGACCGAGACTGAAGCCTGGGAAGAGAAGAGGCTGAAATGGACAGGGCGGTGCCAGAGAGGCAGAGTCCTCAAAGAGGATCCAGAAAGACTGGAAATCATGGAGCAAGGGCTACCAGAGGCCAGCTGGCCTCACCCCCACACGCGGCTCTGCAGCATCTGTCCTCCTGCCTCACTCCCAAACATGGAGCCCCGTGGCTTTGTGAACCACCTGACACAGTTCCTGGATTTCCTTGGGAGATTTTCACGACCTGGGATCGACTACTCCAAAGAGTTTTTCTTTTTTGCATTGCAATTCTTATTACATGTATAAAGCACAATTTTTCATATCTTTGTATATAAAGTATGTTCACGAAAAAAATTTTTCTTCCTTGGCAAAAAGGATTAAGAAAAAAATGGGGCTGGGGCCAGGGCTCAGTGGCAGAGCGCTCGCCTGGCAGGGGTGGCCAATGGGTTCGATCCTCAGCACCACATCAAAATAAATAAGATAAAGGTATTGTGTCCAACTAAAAAAAATAAAAATTAAGAAAAAGAAAAAATTGAGCTTCTCTCGTTGTATATGAGTCCATGCGTGTACACACACACACACACACACACACACACACACACGTTTTTTGAAAAAAGAGAAATCTGAGACAAATTTCCATTTGTGCCGTCAGAGAGAACATTATAAAGCATGTTGCTGTATCCAACCCACATGGAAATGTTTCAATTATAATATTTAAACACGAAAGCACAGAGAACTCTATGTGTTGTTCAAAAATAAATTTAAAGATGGCTGAGGATCCGGCTCTCTAGGAGCCAAAGATTTATGGAGTCATTTCCATCCTTGAGGAAGTAGAGAAACATGATGGAATGGCAGCTGAGACTGTGAATGAGAGCGTCAGAACTCTGTGACTGAAGGAAGAAATACCCAGCATTAGCATGCAGGGCTGGCGTGGCTGGTGGCAGAGCCTTGCCCGCATGTGCTGGGCCTGGGCCCCACCCCAGCCCTGGAAGACAGAGAATCACCACGTGGTCCGTGAGAATTTTAACTTCTACCTCTTTTATTTTGAGCCATTATGACTTCAGCCTAGAAAACCAGAATTGGCCTGCTCACCCCTGGGCTCACTGGCCTGTCCAGGAGAGGGGTAGACAAAGGAAGGGTACACCCTGGCTCTGTCTCCTGTGGTCACAGGATCCCAAGCATGCCCTCTGTCCCCCAGATCTCAGGCTACTGTGGCCAGGTTGCATCTGGTTAGGGGCCTGGCTTATAGTAGGGGCCGTTAAATGGGAGTTTTTTGGGGGCGGGTACCAGGGAATGAGCTCAGGGGCACTTGACCACTAAGCCACATCCCCAGCCCTATTTTCTATTTTTTATCTAGGGACAGGGTCTCACTGAGTTGTTTAGCGCCTCCCCTTTGCTGAGGCTGGCTTTGAACTTGTGATCCTCCTGTCTCAGCCTCCCCAGCTGCTGGGATTACACGTGAGCGCCACGGCACCTGGCCAAGTGGGAGCTTTTAGTAATCTTGGCTTACGAGGCACGCTGGTTTTCAGGGTTTCCAGCAGGTGGCTTCAGGTTCTCCCCAGCTGGTGTGCCCCTTTATTATAAATATTTTTCATCCATTTACTCAAGATTTGACTTACCGCTAAACCACATGATGAACATCATCTTCGGGGTGATCTTGTGATCGCGGAAGAAGTTCAGGAGGTAGGAAAGCGGGAAAATGTTGACGGCTCTGCCGAACAGCACGAGCACCTGGTAACAGCAGAGCCGAGACCCAGAGGGACCGTCACCTTCTTCAGGTCCCAGTTTGCCCAAGTCAACGCAGACCCGGGACACACCTATCACCACGCAGCAGCCCCCTCAGCCATGAAAGGTGTGACTGGCACAACACCAGGCAGAGCCAGCAGTGGGTGGCTAGAGACGGGGGCCTGGATGACGCTTATGGATCACAGGCGCACAGCATCACGCCCGCCTGGTTCCAAAGTCCGAAGAAAGGACCAATAAGTGTCAATGAGGGTTCTGGCAATGGCAGCAGAACGGAAGCCAAAGGCCTTGCAGAAACATCCAGAGTGCTACTTCAGGGCCACCTGCCTCCAAAGGTGGCCACCATGGACAGGTCTGCACTAATCCCCCCCCCCCCCCCGGGGCAAACTCTGGAGGGATAAACCAGGTGTTTCTACCTCACCCGCAGGGACCACGCTCCTCAGGACAAGGAGGGAAGGACTGAGAAGGCCTACCTGGGCATTTTTCTCTGAGCAGAAAGAAAACATTCTATAAGGAGGCCACACACGGCCTAGCCCGTTGCTATGGCTTTTAGTTCCCACCATCTCCAAAGGCATTTAGTCTTAACGAAAATAGTTTTTTGGGGCTGGGATTGTGGCTCAGCGGTACAGTGCTTGCCTAGCACGGGCGGGACCCAGGTTTGATCCTCAGCACCACATAAAAATAAAGGCATTGTGTTGTGTCCATCTACACCTAAAAATATATATATATTAAAAAAAAATAGCTATATGGGGTGGGCTGGGGACGGAGCTCAGTGGCAGAGTGTTACTTAGCAAGGCCCCCCGATCCCYAGTACTGCAAAAAGAAGAAGGTAAAAACCAAACAAAATATAGCTCTATGTAAAGCTTGAATCTTGCCAACCCCAGCCCCCACATGAACGTATTTTAATCCTATTTAGTTTATTTCTCTTAACAAACATGACCTGAGTGTGCTTTGAGTGGTAGGCCTCAGAGAGTCAAGTTAACAACRACTGCTCCCAATTATCCAGCGGTCCAGTGCCAGGGACTGTGCTAAACATTTCACACGCATCCTATCTGGCTGCATTTGAATCTTGCAGCAGTGTTATGGAGAGGGTGCTACCATCTCCATTTTACAGACAAGCAAACCGAGGYAAGCCGAGGAACTGGGTGAAGCTGACTGGGCAGGAAGAAGTAGATCCAAGGTGTGAACCTGGTCGGACCCCAAAGCCCACAGTCTAGACCACTGAGCTGGGTGTGAGGGTGGAACTATCGTAATAAAACAGGGGCTCTGCTAGCCGCAGGGCCAGCCTGTGCCCGGTGCTTGGGGGGACTGAGCCACTGCCTGGGGTGTCCTCCCATGTTCCTCCCAGCCCATGGCTAGGACAGTCACCTCCCAGGTTCACTGTAACATCCAATCTCAGCTCCTACACTTTGTTTCAGGTTTAACCAAAGGTGGTCCCTTGACCAAGGACGACAGTAACGGCCTCTGTACTTTCTGTAAAAGGCTTTTGTTGCTGTTCTTTTGTCCTGAAACCTGAGTTTGGAGGACAGACAACTGACAAACACCAACAAGCTCCGGCCAAGTGAAAGGCAGAGAGAAGAACCCAGGTGGCAGGGAGGACATCTTTCCCTAGGGTTCCTTATGTCCTCCACGGCTCTCCTGGGTGCCAAGCAGGCGGTCCTTACCAGTTTGCACTTGGTAGGTAAAAGTGCTTTAATAAAGTCTGCTTCCTAATAGCTGGGTTTTAAGTGGAACTGGCAATAAACGTTAACAAAAAACAATATGCCACACTCCAACAGGAAGGAGTGTCTTGTAAATGCTTGAAATTAATGAGGGACCCAAAAAGATTAAATTAGGAATTAAGAGTGTAGATCAGCTATTGGGCCTTGGGCTGAGGGACGAGCCCGAACTGGAGAAACAGAGACCAAAGGAGAAACGCAGGCAAGGACCTGGAGGTGTTTGGCCAGATGCCCACATGCTAGCGGTCTCTGCTGTCACTTGAATCAGATGCTTGAGGGAGCTGGACCTTTCTTTCAAATGCTAAACATTTATTCTCCCTCCCAGTCCCAAAAAGGATTCCATTCTGCTGTAGATGATTACATTTCGCTTTTCCTTATTTATTTGAACCCCGGGTGCTTTACCACTGAGCCATGTGCCCAGCCCTGTTTTACTTTTTATTTATTTATTTATTTTTTAAAATTTTAATATTTTATTTTTTAGTTATTGGCTGACACAACATCTTTGTATGTGACGCTGAGGATCGAACGCATGCTAGGCGAGTGCACTACCACTTGAGCCACATCCCAGCCCTTTACTTTTTATTTTGAGACAGGGTCTTGCCATGTTGCTGAGGCTGGCCTTGAACTTGCATTCCTCCTGCTTGAGCTTCATGAGTCACTAGGATTACAGGAATGTGCAGCACTGGGCCCAGCCCCTCTCTTCTTTCTTAAAGGAATATTTTAATTGCTTTACTGCCACCCTCAGCCCAATTATAACCCTGTTTCCATGTCATAAGCATCACCTGGGTAACTCCCCTGGGTGATTCTGAGGAAGCCACCCAGGGTCTGGTAATCTTTACTTTAACCACTATCTAAGGTCATGCTTATAAATAGGCACATTTGGAAAAAAAAAAAAAAAAAAACTGCAGTAAGAAGGCAGTATACATCCATTATAAATTTTCCAGAAAAAGGTCAAAGAAAAAAAATCATCCCCATTTTAACAACTGCTGTGAACATTTGTCAGTATTTTCTTTTAAAAGAAAAATGTACTATGAGAGTTTTTTTTTAATTTTTTAAAAGATGTTAATGGATTTTTATTTTATTCATTTACTTATATGTGGTGCTGAGAATCAAACCCAGTGCCTCCCACATGCTAGGCAAGCACTCCACCACTGAGCCCCAGCCCCAGCCCCATCAGTATTTTCTTACATACATGGTTATAACTGGTTGCATAATCAATTTTGAAGTCTGCTTTTATCACCTAACATAAAATTGTATAAATTTGGGCTGGGGATATAGCTCAGTTGGTAGAGTGCTTGCCTTGCATGTATAAGGCCCTGGGTTCAATTCCTAGCACCACAAAAAAAAAAAAAAAGAAAAAATATTTATATGAGTTTATTCTTCTTAGAAGAGACCGTAACATTCAAGTGCACTGAAAATTAAAAACTATGTACAAGTCCTTTTCCAGGATTACTCAGCCACTTAATTTCAATCCCCCCACCTCCACCCCATCCCCCTTGTATATGATTTTTAACAAAAGAGACTTTAAAACAGAAGTRTGTCTATGTAGCTGTTGACTCTGAACAGTTAACAGTTACATAAATGAATCCAGAACATGTTATTGATCTACAAATAAGTATTTAAATTAAAAAAAAAAAACAAGGAAAATACTTACTATGCACCAGATGACAAAGGAAATTTCAAACTTGTGAGGGAAACTAAAAATGGACAGGCCAAGAAATGCAAACACACATGTTTCTGAAACAAACCAAAGAATGGATTATTCAGCCCCAACTATTTTCTTCCAATACAGCGCAAAACTATTAAGCAAACATGCAGAAGTCATGAGCCAATAAGGCACTTTTTTTCATTTTCTGGAAAATACTGCAACCAATATTTTGGTCAAACTGTGCTTGGATTCTTTCTTTTCTGTCACACTAGTTACATGGGCTGTTCTCCAGGATTTCCCAAAGTAATGAGTCAACTGTCAAATACGAACTTAAATAAACACCCTCCCACCAGGGGAAGATGATAAACCGAATCTGCCCGTGTGCTCAGCACTGTTCTTAGCAAGGGTCCTGATAGCGGCCAAGTGGCAAGAGTTCAGAGCAAATGGCTGCAGGCGCCAGATGACAAGCATGAAAGGGCTTTTGGTTAACTTCCCCGCCAGTGCCACAGTCAAGTGACAGGATGAACATACTGACTGCTGCTGTAGGTTAGAGAGCAGCCCGAGCCCAGCAGGACTTCAGGAAGAGATCCCCTTCCAGCTCTGACTTTCCACAGAGCAAAGGAGCCCTGACTTCCTGTGGGCCAGCAGTCACTTGTGTATCTTAAGAAAAAGCACTTTATAAATTTCTGGGCACCCTGCTTAAACCCTGATGACCTCCAGAACTGCCGATTAACCAGGGAGACACAGACTATATTTTAAAATAGCTGAACATCATAAAGCACTAAAACCGTTTAAAAACATTGCAGTAATGTTTTTTCTTCAAACGTGAATCTTTTCTTTTTTGGTGCATGCTGAGGATTAAATCCAGGACCTCACACATGACAGGCAAGTTGTCCACCACTGAGCTACACCCCAGCCAAATGTATCTCTCTCTCTCTCTTTTTAAATATACTTTTTAGATATAAAGACCTTTATTTTATTCATTTATTTATATGTGGTGCTGAGAATCGAACCCAGTGCCTCACACATGCTAGGCAAGCGCTCTACCACTGAGCCACAGCCTCAGCCCCATATATCTTTTAAATTTTTTTTTTTTTTTTAATTTGAGAAACGGTTTCACTAAGTTGCTGGGGCTGGTTTCAAACTTGCAATCCTCCTGCCTCAGCCTCCTGAAATGTATATCTTTTTAAAGTGAGTCCACAAGCTGAACGATATACTCACCCTTATCCTACTTGAAGGTTTTTTTCTTATCTATTAAACATTTTTGTGATCTTTCCAAATTGGCACATTTAGAACATTCATATCTACCTTTTCCCTGGCAGTCTAAATTCTAGTCCTGGGTGTATCACAGTTAACCCACCCTCTGCAGATGAATACTTAGACAAGTTCCATTTGATATTACAAGCTACAACACCACACCCCTGCACACAGGTTAGATTCCTGAAGACTGAATTGCCTGGCCCAGAGAGTACGTGCCTTTTACATTCAGACAGATAACTGCAAAAGATTCTCCAAGAGAAGCCCCTCCCACAGCTTGATTTCCACTCACCCTGCCAGAACTGAATATCACCAACTTGCCAATTTGCTTAAAAGTTGCCAATCTGATTGATAAGTGCCAAATAGAATTTGATGGATGTTTTGTTCTAGGTTCCTGTAATTGTGAGGATGAGGTCAGAATCTTTAGCCTTGGCTTTTGGAGAGGAATACTGTGGAATAAACACCCACCGGCCCTGGGACACAGAGGCCTGGCTGCCGGCGCCAATTCCTGGCAGAAGGCCACCAGGCCTCACCTGGGCCTCCTTGCCTCCGCATAGCCAGCCCTCCCTCCTGGAACACCACAGGGAACTACTGCTTTAGAATGAGACAAGGCCCCTGAAGTGCCAGGGGACACTGGTGATGACAGCTGGGGCACAGTAATTCAGGGCTGGTGTAAAGGGACAGTGTGACTGGCTCCTTCACTCCAGGGATGAGCCAGGGAGGAGGCAAGTGAGAGCTCAAACTGAAACAGCTCTTCACGGTCCAGCCCAGCTCAGCCCAGCACGTGACACCCCCAAATGCATCCTTCAGGATGGCCCGTGGATAAAGGGCCCCCTGGACGAACCTGGGAATGCAGGGACAGTGTCCCTCTCTTAGAAACCCAAGATGCCCATCTGCTGAAAAGCCCCGGCTCACAGCCTGCTCAGCTCACCCAGGATCTCCCAAACTCTTCTCCTATACAGCTCTGGGCATCTGACCCTCTTCAAAACCAWTTCCAAGGAGAAGTTTTTGGACACGTCCCTTCAATACATTGCATATCCCACTTGTCAGGAGCGAGGCTGGCCCTAGCGGTGCACAGCAGGGCGACAGCACAGGCAAGGAGCCCAGCGTCTGGTGGAGGTTCTGCTTCTGCTGCAGGGAAATCTCCACCAACTCCCACCACAGGGCAGGAAGCCCATCAGGGCTGGAGGGCCCAGGCGCCAGCCGCCAGGGAGGACTCACCGCACAAGAAGGCCACGGTCCGGAGGGTTTGCTGCATGAGGATCTGGGTGACGGGGGAGAGGTTATGGTGCGTGTAGTGCGACATCACGATGCCAGAGAACAGGATGGCCATGATGCCTGGAGAGGGACAGAGGGGCACAGACATGAGCGGCAGAATAGCACCTGCCACGGGGCGCCCAAGTCAGGCGACACACTCCTGGATGCCCCAGAGCCCGGGGCACGAGGGCTTTAGGAAAAAGGAAAAGAAAATAACCCCGAGGCCTCCCAGGGCTGCGGGGAGCCGAGGCCCTGGCTCTTCGGCACTGGCGCTGGCTGAGCTCTTCCCTTCCTGCAGCCTGTCTGCTCGCGGGCACCGGGACTACAGTACCCACCCGTGAACTGCTAGGGGGCAAGGGAACACGGGCCACGCAAAGTGCCCCACAGTCCCGGCCCCAGCACGTGCGCACCGTCACGGCCATCCAGGGGTGTGGGGCAGGTGCAGCTCGGGCGGCACAGGGCCTGAGGACAAGGAGAAGGGGCAGCTTCGGGGGGCTTTTTAACTGCTTCCCCTTAATTTTGAATTCCCCATGTTTAAGCAGGTGACACATCTCTTCTTCAAAGCTCTCCACGGCCCACGGCCTGTGCTGCTCAGGCTCTGAGTGCCCAGTCTGTCCCCTGCCCTGCACCCCTCCTAGGCACTTGGCTCTAACTCTTCTCAGCTCACCCCTGCCCAGGCAGCAGGAAAGGGGTCTCCATGTCAAGCAGGGATGCTGACATTAAAAAACTCATCAAACAAGATGCCAAAACGCACGAACTGCAAGTCATATTTTATAACAAAAGTTTTAACTCAACTTGTGCCCTTCTGGAGAAGCAGAAGTCAGTTAAACTACCTTCCCATTTGTACAGGGTGAAGACGACAGGATTGTGTCGCAGACGTTCCAGCTGCTGAGCTGAGTGTACACGCAACGCCCTAAAGAAACCTGGCAAGCCCTGCTCTCTGAACTGCCCAGGTGCTTGCTGGCTGGTGAGAGGGGCTGGGACGCTTCGTCCCCTCATTCTCTAAAGAAACAGCAAATTCCTTTGCTCTCTCACTTCCCTCCAGGAAGAGCCCAGAAACACTTCCCACGAGGCCCGAGAGCCGGGGAGGAAGCCCAGGGGCAGATTTCCTCACCTGCCCTGTCGGGGCAGGAGCTCGCTGGAGCTCAGCGTCCCTCTGAATCATGGCTCTACTGGACAAAGAGTGAGCACAACAGAAACTTCAGTTCTTCTCAAGTTCACTTTTCCTCTCCCTAAGTCCTGTTCCATACTGGGAGGGAGAGCTGAGCCCTCTGATCCTGCAGAAAATGCAGGCACTGAGGCCATCAAAGGACAGGCTGGGGGTGTGGCTCAGTGGTGGAGCTCAGGCTCCACAGGTGCAAGGCCCTGGGTCCAACCCCGGCACAAGAGCAAATCAACCAGACAAAGGCAACACCATGCAGAAAGGGCAGGGAGGGAGCACTGGGTGGCCTGGACCCCACCTCAGCTGGAAGACTGGGTGCCGGGTGCCGCGCTGGCAGCCCCTTGGCCACTCAGTCCCATGCTCACAGACCCTGGCTCCCAGCTTTGAAAGGGCTCTTTCCACCAGCTGACTTCAAGAGGGACCGTCAATCCTCTTGCAAGGTCAGGCCTTTGTGCTTCTTACTTTGATGTAAAAGTCAACCCAAGAGGAGCCCGAGCCACGCTGAAGTCACCACACAAGTCACCTCACACCCGATCGTCATTCCACCCACAGACAGAAGCTGTCACGGCCATAGGAGTGGACGTCAAATACCTATTCTAGAAAGCCAAGGCTGCGGGCAGTCGGACCTGACACAGAATGCGGAAGTTCTCTCGGGACTGACCACTGGGAGAGCCCGACCCCAGGACCATCCTGCCCCAGCGTTCTTCAGGGGGACAGGCTCAGCAAAGAAGGGTTTGGCTGGCCTGTTTACTCAACACTCCTTGGGGGCCACACTGAAAACCAAAGAATAAGCTGGCGGGTGGCAAATGCCTCTAATCCCACCAACTCAGAAGGCTGAGGTAAGAGGTTCGCAAGTTTGAGGCCAGCTTCAGCAATTTACCGGGGCCTATGCAATTTAGTGAGACTATCGCAAAATAAAAAGTAAAAAGAACTGAGGATGTGGCTCAGTGGTAAGCACCCCGGGTTCAATCCCCAGTAACAACACAAAGAATAAGAATCAAGAGTCAGCAAYGGGGCTGGGGCTGGGGCTCAGTGGCAGAGCGCTCTCCTAGCACGCAGGAGGCACTGGGGTCGATCCTCAGCACCACATAAAAATAAAGATACTGTGTCCCCCTAAAACAAAAAAATTAAAAAAAAATCAGCAGGATGGAGGTGGACAGTGGGAGGGTGGTCATAGAAGACATTCGTTTTTGATTGAACCCAGGGTCACTTAAAAACCGAACCACCACATCCCCAGCCCCCCTCCTTTAATGTTTTGAGACAGGATCTCACTGATTATGTAGGGCCTTGCTAAGTTGCTGAGGTTGGTTTCAAACTTGCAATCCTTCTGCCTCAGCCTCCTGAGTTTCTGAGATTACAGGCCTGCGCCATCACGCCCAGCAGACACGGCCTCTTTACCAAGGGCTTGCAGCCCGGAGGGTTGGCGGCCCGGAGTAGGCCAATCTTCCTGCTTGTGTTTTTAGATGCCGGGAATYTGCTGCTCATGGGTATTTCCCAACTTTTAAAGACAGCAACTGATTCAAATCTTTAAAATTCCCTGTATGAATAAACAAACCCAGTCTGGGAAGTGAGTCCGGACGATGCTGTGCCTGTGTGCTTGACCTACTGATGTTGGAAACGGGCCGCCCACGGGGAAGAGAGCCTCACCCAGGGCAGTGCCAGGTGGGGCATATGTCAAGTTCTGGGCTACACGAAAGAGCTTGGGCCAGCTTGAGACACCAGAGCCCAAGGGACAGCTCAGGTGTCTCCCCATGATCCCTCCCTATGCAAAGGGGTCCCACCACCACCCAGACCACCCCATCCACTGCAGCTGCCACCTGTACAGGCTGGAAAAACACCACAGGGGAACAGGGTGACCTAAGCTCACTCTTGTGAGATAAATGCCATGGCTATTAAAAAAAATACTATAAGGAAGAAATCCTGACACATTTACCTCTTTATTTAAATCTTTATTTAATTTATTTATTTTTATGTGGTGCCGAGGCTCAAACCCAGCGCCTTACACGTGCCAGGCRAGTGCTCTACCGCTGAGCCCCAGCCCCACATTTACCTCTTTAAGAAGGCAAAATCAGCTAGGTGCTGTGGCTGAGGCAGGAGAATCAGGTTCAAGGCCAGCCTCAACAACTTAGCGAGGTCCTAAGCAACTTAGTGAGACCCTGTCTCAAAATGAAAAATAAAAAGGGCTGGAGACGTGGCTCAGTGGTGTCCTTGAGTCCAATTCCCAGTACAAAAAAAAAAAGAAGAAGAAGAAGGGCAAAATCATTTAAGAAAGTAGGTRGCCGGCAGGCCGCGCACAGTAGCACACACCTGCAATCCCAGCGACTGGGGAGGATGAAGCAGGAGGATGGCAAGTTCAAAGGCAGCCTCAGCTAGTGCCCGAGTTAAATCTAGTACCAAAACCAAACTCAGCAGAGACACAATGCGTCTTGGAGTTCCTTCCACGGCAGTGCAAACGGACCAACACTTAGTAAGTGGCTGCACGGTGTTCCACAGTGAGAATCTTCACTCTCACAGAGTGATCTGGAGGCTCCATCCAACCTCTCTCTGAAGACCCAGATGACCACAGCCCAAAGGCAAAGTGCAGGAGAGCAGTGCCCTTCCCGGGGCTGACAGTATGTTCCTGGCCTGCGCGGCTGTCCAGCGGCACCTGTAGCAACTCCCAAGGAACCACTTCCCTCTGATCAGAAAACAGTGCCTCTTGGACAGAAGATAAGAAAAACACTCCCTAAATGGATGCATAAAATGTATCTTCCCAACATGGACTCAGTGCTAATGGCAGGGGGATAATTTAGAGAACCAGAGGTAAAAACAGGTAGGCGGGCCGTGACTTACACGTAATGTTCAGTAAGCACCAAAGTTCAGAAAAGACAAGCTGGCAGATGCCAGGAGCAGTTATCCAGCTGAACTGACTCAGGACTGACAACGAAGCCCTGAGGTCACAAAAGGCCTCCAGGGAAAGCAGCCCTTCCCCCCTGCTTTCTCCTCCAGGCAATGGCCAGCAGAGGGAAAAGGCGGGTCACCCACACCATTAAAAACCTCACTGCACGTGGGTTCTCCCTGTGCCAGGTACTTAACAGCCAGGATGGAGCCAGGTGTGGTGGCTGAACTTAAGAAGAGCTCCCAGCTGAGACTCCAGGAGGGCAAGGCCACGGAGAGCCCGGCAGGTTCTGGGAGGTTGGAGCTGGGGTARCTGCACAGAAAAAGCTCTGCGATTCTCCATAAGATCCCCTGAAGCCTTTGCCAGGATGAGATTCCGAGAGGCTGAGGATAGGACCACTGAGAGGCCGGCCCAGCAATCCCTGAGGCCTGAGAGCCGTCTGCCTCCCCCTCAGCTGGAGCAGTGATGTCTCAGCACATGGGACAAGAGGCCAAGGACTGAGCAGGGCATTGCTTTAGTTAGCACTGCTTCTCTGGAACTGTCCTAACAAAGTTTAGATTGACCCCAGGCCAGGGGTGATGGCGCATGTGATTCCAGAGACTCAGGAGGCTGAAGCAGAAGGATTCCAAGTTCAAAGCCAGCCCCGGCAACCCTGCCTCAAAATCAAAAGGACTGTAAGGAAGAAATCCTGACACCTGGGGGTGTAGCCCAGGGTGGGTTCAATCCCCAGCACCACACACACACAAAAAAGTCTAGAACCATATAAAGAAAGACAGTAAAATCTTAAACTTGAGTTCATAATGACCAGCCTCCAATAGAAAATTAATAGCAAGCAAAGAACAGGAAACATGCCCTAAAACACAAACAAATTGATAGGACAGACCGAGAATTGACAAAGATTGAAGGAATCGGTAAAGAAGCACTTTAAAATACCTATTATAAATATGCTCAAGAATACAAAGAAAAAATGAGCATGATAAAGAGAAAAATGAAAGATATAAAAACGGGGTGGGGTCGTGGCTCAGTGGCAGAGTGCTTGCCTGGCATGTGTGAGGCACTGGGTTAAATTCTTAGAAGAAAGGAAACAAAGAAAGGAAAGAAAGAAGAAAAAAAGGTATTGTGTCCATCTACCAAAAAAAAAAAACCAAAAAAAAAAAAAAAAAAAAGAAACAAAAATCAGAGAACTTCTGTAGATGAAACAACACAATAGCTAAAATGAGAAATACACTAATAGGATTAACAGATACCCAAATGGCAGAAGAAAAGATCAGTGAACTTGAAGACACACTGGTAGAAACTAACTAAAATAAATCACATATGTATATGTGTGTGTATATATAAATAGTATCTCTATATTTAAATATATGTATGACAAAAAAAAAAAGAGCACACTGTGGGCCAGTAGCACACATGCAGTCATAACTGGAGTCCCAGCAGGGGGGCAGAAAGAAGAAAAGAAAAACTGAAAAAACAGGTAAAGAAATCACCAATTCCATGAAGGCTATGCACACCTAAACTATCAACCCCCAAATCTCCAGGGGGCTTCCCAGCAGAATCCCCAGAGAACCACACCCAGGCACATCCAAATCCAATGGCCATGCCTCTTCTGGGAGGGATAAGCTTCTTAAAAATTAAAATAAGAGTCATCAAGGAACTGGACTCTGTCACATCCTGGTGGGAATGTGACATGATACAGCACTTTGAAAAACACTTGGCAGGTTTCTAACAAAGCAAAATATATATTTACCATATGACCCACAACCTTCCTCCTGGTATTTAACCCAAGTTAAATAAAAACATGCACACACGTTCATAGTCCCAAAGGAAGGAAGACCCAAATGTCCTTCAAACGGTGAATGGCCAGCAGACTGTGGTGCCAAGAAGCGTTTAAGTTACTGATGTGCGAGAACACACACGCTTCTCGGGAACAGCACAAGTGAAGGAAATGAGTCCTGAGACCGTGTGGAGAAGGCGAAGCTCCAGTGACCAGGAGGTCAGGGAGTGCCAGGCTTGTCAGCCAGAGGGCACCAGGGAACCCTGTGGGGAGATGGAACGTTCCACACGTTGACTGTGGTGGCAATGTGACTGCATATGGTTGTCAACATTCACAGAATGTACACTTAGAATGGTACGTTTAGTACAGGTGAGTCAGACCTGGACCAAGATTTAAAATAAAACAAGAAAGGACAGAAAAGAAAAGCCTCCGGGTGGAGAGAGCTAGCCAGCCCCCAGCMGGAGCTCCTTCCAGAACAAGGCCTCTGAAGGGCCTGCAGGGTGGGGTCAAGGCAGACCCTCCCTCTCCGCTGTTCAGCTGCCCCTCACACAGGGGAAGGGGAGCCAGGCTCCAGGTGCCAGCACAGCCTCCATCTCTAGGCCAGCGCCCTAAAAACTTCAGMGGACTCACGCTCACCTCCCGCTGGGAGGAAGGCCTGCCCTGCATGCCTGACGCGAGGGGGAGGGCTCCAGCAGCACTACCTGTGAGGGGCCACCCCTCCTGCAGCTGCGAGCAGGGCTTCTAGAATCCCATCCCAGAGCCATCTCCACTGCCGGGAACCACACACCCTCCTCCCCTGGGTGAGGGAAAGGGCATTTGCAGCTCAGGGCCACCGCTTACTGCCTGTGCATCTCTGAGCTGATGACTTAACTTCCTAGAGCCTACTCCACGGGGCTGGTGGAACCCAAGCTGGGGCGTGGTGGAGCACACCTGTAGTCCCAGCTACCTGGGAAGCTGTGGCAGGATGCTGCCTTCAAAGCCAGTCTGGGGAACACAGACATCTCAAAAGACAAAACAAAATGGAACCCTGAATACAGGTTCCCTGTGTCCAGTACAGCCCACAGCGACAGCATCACGTCACACTTTCCTGTGCCTCTGAACAGCCCTTGGTATGTGGTTTCACGATGACCTGTTTTGGAGGGACCAGGTTAGAGAAGCATGGGTTCTTGGATCGAGTCAACTACGACGCATCACTGCTCTGCCCATTTCAGCTCTGACCTCAGGCAACACGTTTCATTTCTGTCAGCTTTGGGTTTCTCATCAGCATACCAGGGATCCTCACAGTACCTCCCTCCCACAGCCACCCACCTACAAGGGAGCCCCCTAAGACTGGTGGTTAAATGAAAGAAGGTGGGTAAAGACCCCAAATGGCTGTGCCCTGGAGATGGTCAGGCCTGAATCTCTAGGCCATGAACCCTCTTTAGGCCTTAATCTCTTCTGAGTTGACTCTGCCTCTCATGATGGAGAGCGACCTAAGTGAAAAACTTTTCGACAGAAGGACAATAGGCCATTGCCATAGTATTTCTAGGGTCTGTCACTTACCTGAGAGTGAGATTCCTTCTGCAAGCCCATAAGGCAGATAGGCAAAAATGATCATCATGCCAAACTCCAAGGAAGGCGTTTTCCTCAAGTCAATGTGCTTTAGCACGTAAACGGCAATCGTCAAGGAAAACGAACCAGGGACTCCTGATAGAGAAGTCACAGAACTGCAGCTTTCCAAATGTATGAAGTAGATAAAGGAAATGAAAGACCTGAGCATCCCAAGGCTCCAACGGCAAACTAATCATCACGGATGCTTCCTACTCCACGGGGCTTGTGGGAAATTCATTTGCAGAGACTATTGTTATAAAAATGGGAAACTGATAAAACACCAAAAAGTACAAATTCCTATGATAAATAGGGGAAAATTCAAATCAACTCAAATCAACTACTTAAAAAATGCTGACTTAGAGGACTGGAGATGTGCTGACAGGACAGTCTGGGCGGCAGACACACAGAGGACAGGCCACAATGCTRGGCCACCGTCCCCTCCTAGGAGGACTCAGATGGGACCGTCAATGGGTGCCTGTTTCCAGGGACTCAGGGCCCAGGTGAAGGACTGCGTCCCCGTCCCTGCACACTTCTGTACCACAGCCTTGTGTAAGGAGGGAGTCGGCGTCCGCTCCCGTGCTGCTCACGGGCCTAGACGGAGCTTGGGGACCCATCACTCTGCCTCACTACACACGTGCTCTCCAGAGAAGCAGCTCAGCGTGCAGGAAACGCTGAACAGGAAGGCTCGCTCTCCTGCCCATTCTGTTTATTGGGACAATATGAAAAGCTGTCAGCCGCCTCGAGAGAGCTTTAGGCTTCTGGACAGAGGAGCCGATGGGAAAATTCAACAGAGTGGCAGGAAAACACTCCAGGCAAGAGTCTTCCGGCCATCTGTGAAACAAACTGCTTGTGGAAGAGGGCCAGGTGGCCACGTCCGGGCTGGCGGCTCGGCGCGTGCAGAATGGCCTGGTGCCGGCTCACATTTTAAACATGATGGATTTTCAACGGCAGTTGAGGCGCCTTTGCCTTGACAGGCCTCTTTTCTGCTCTGGCGGGAAAAGCTCACGGTTGTTAAGCAACAAAATCAGTGCAAATAACTTAGACGGAGCTCACTTCCAAAGGCCCTTTCCAATCACGTTCAGCTGGGAAGATTCTGTCAATTCCAYATTTTTGAAGAAATCCCATTTCCAATATTCTGTATGTGCGAACTGAGACAGCCGACAAGGAAAGTCATCGGAATGCAGTCATTATCCTGACAGCTGAGAAAGTCCCCGGTCACACCTGATGACTCCACAGTGCACGGTGTTGTTAAGCTTGGAAAGTGATATCCTAAATTTCATATGTTAAATTTTAATTCCTTGAGTCTAGAGTATTTCTCACACCAAAACTAAACATGTCTTCCTTTAAATAAAACCTTGATTAAACTGGCCCCGAAGGAGCAGGAAGAGCCAGCTCCCGATGGGTGCCACTAGAGGACCCCACCCTGGATCACACCAAAAGGATATTAATGCAGAAATCAAGCCAGTGAGGGTGCCGAGTGCCGCAGAGCCAAAGAACATTTTGAGGAAGTAGCCAAGGGCTTGTAAAAATGTTTGCCACCCACTGACATCTGACGTATTCTTTCTTGTTAAACCTTCAGCTGTGCTAGGAAATAAAGGATAATATAACGAAGTCAAAATGTTACATCAGGCGCAGTGGCACATGCCTGCAATCCCTACGATTCAGGAGGCTGAGGTAGGAGGATGATAAATTTGAGGCCAGCCCTGACAACTTAGCAAGACCCTGTCTCAAAAATAAAATAAAAAGGGCTAAAAGGCTGAGGATGTAGCCCAGAGACACAGCGACCTAGGTTCAATCCTCAGTACCTCAAAGAATAAAAATCAATAAAAAGTTAAAATATTATAATATTATTATACAATGTTCTTAGAAATTTAGAGCTTAAAACTTATTTCTTGCTTATTTCCTTACTCCTTCATTATTACACTGTTCAGCCAGTCAGGTGTGATCTCTGTTCCCCCACTGTGCCTGGGGTGCTGCATTAGTTTCTGGGGACTGGGCGATAAGAGCAGCGTCCAGCCCCCCAGGAGCTCTCCCTAGTCTGAAGGAGAAACCCGAGATGGAAATGAATGGGGGGGGCAGGGAGGGCTGCAGAAACACGGCATGGGCGTGGAACTCCCACTGAGGGGGGAGTCAAGGAAGCTTCTAGAACAAACGTGGGCTGGATTTAGATACAGGATAAAGAAGAGATSAGGAAGGACCCTGTGGGGGTGGGGAGGCAGGGAGCCCAAGCRGTGGACACACTCAAGTGCTTGGATCAGTGCGGCTACAACACAGGAGCAGGACGTGGGGACAGGTGGGGGCAGTGGCAGGAGACAGGAGAGCAGCAGGCGGTAGTGTTTCACCCTGACGATGGGACAGGTTTTCATACCAGACACCTGCAGTGACCCTGAAACTGAGACCACAGCAAAAAGCCAGGCTGGAATGGAGCCGCCCAGAGAAGAAATGTCAGAGGTGCAGGGCGAGGGGAGGACTGAGGAGGCWTTAAGGAAGAAGAATTGAGAGACTAAATAAAATGTCAGAAGCCATAAAATTCAATTGTGGGTTTTGTCCTCAAAGGGAGGACACCATTCCCACGAAGCCATTCTATTCATTACACATCCTCCTCCACCCAGTCCCAGGACTCTCAGGACTCCACACACCTCTCTCCTCCCCGCCTCCTCCCTCCCGGAGTCACACCTCCCCAGTTTCTATAGACATCCTCCTCTTCCTGCAGACCAGCTGGGGCTGAGTTCCGCAGCCTGAGCAATGCACTCAAGCAGGCCAGCAGCCAGCTCCAAACTCCTCGGCGGTGTCCTGACACTTCCAGGAGGAAGCCCGGTCTTCCAGGTATGACCTAGCTCCCTCACCTACCTGACCTCATCTCCCAACCAGGTGGGTCACCTTTCATCTTCCCTGGCCCCAGTTAAATCTCCAATGGACCCTAAGCACCCAGTGTCAGTGCCACTCCCCCAGGACACCTACACTGACCCCATAACACAAGCCAGCCCAGATACTGGCCTTCGTGGTGCCTGACTGCTTCACACCACGTGAAAACTGCAGGAAATCATTTCCCTGAAGACCAAGCCTCTGTCCACCTGGACCACTGCCACCTGTCCCAGGTCTAAAGCACCATCCAGCACATGAAAGACACTCAGTACATTTTTGCTGAACCAGTAAATAAAATCAAGAATCTCTAGCAGCACCATACAGCTTCATGGATCAGCATTTCATTTGAAAGCAGAAAAATCTCTGTCAACAGGGCAGCTTGGTCAAGTCACCCAGGAAACCTCTGTGGAGACTCAGCACAGAATAACATAACAAGGATTCTCAGACACTAATTYTCTTCACACCAGTCTTCCACTTTCCTGAATGTTCGATCTCCCCCACCTCCTGTCTTTTCCAAAAGGTTAYTAGCTCACGAATGTGAGGCCAAGGAGGGCTCTCCCTAGAAAAGTGCTTTGGAAGGTCAAGGTCATCTGCAGTTCCCCACAGGGACCTGGGGATCATACTTGACCCCAGGCCTGCAGCCCCACCCTTCTCCACTGCCTGCCAGAACACAGGTGTCTCTGGCTCTTTTCTTTTTATACAGAGGAGGTGAAGACCCAAAGACCAACTAGGATTTAGAGCAGACCCAGGGCTGGCCAGCAGGCTCTGAATGCCAGAAAAATGAAAGCAGGAGCTGGGTTCTTCCTGGCTTAGCAATTTTTTCTTCTTTCTTTCTTTTTTCAGTACTGGGGGTGGAATCCAGGGCCTCGAGCATGGCTAGRAGAGTGCTCTGCCACTTAGCCACATCCCTACCCTTTGCAGAAACTTTATTTTGAAACAGGGTCTTGCTAAGTTGCTGAGGCTAGCTTCCGACTTCAATCCTCCCGCCTTGGCCTTCCAAGGCAATGGGACTATGGGGTGTGCCAGTGCCCCGCTGGGTTTTAATTTTTGTATATAAGGTGGAGGCTCCCACGTCTGACCCTCTTGTTCACTTCTCTAGGRGTAGCTTTCACCCAGCAGGCATCAAGGTCATCAAGTCCAACTTGTTTCTGAGCAGCATCGGGCACCAGAGGCAGAGGACTGACAATCAGCTGCCGTCTGAGGGGCAGGGTCGCCCCAGTGTTACGGATGGCAGAGGGAAGGAAGGCTGGGAACTGGATGCATGCAGTCCAGAGATCCCACTGTGGAAACAGTCACCACAGGCGATCTTGGCCTCAAAGGCACTTCCACTAAGAAAGAACCTTTGTCTATATACAATGACATCATCAGCTCTTGTTTTTCAAAATATCTCCTAATCTCTGGCCTTTTTGCAGCAGAGACCTGGAAAAGCTCAGAAAAGGTCGTGACAGATCTTTTCTCTTTAAATAAATGAGAGATGAGGCAATTCAGTTTAGCTCCTAATGTATAAAAATAACTCATGATGTTAACTCCAAATCAGGCAAAATTCCTTATCACAAATTTTCAATATGTTACCAGGATATGAGATAAAAGTAAACACCAGAGAGCTAAGCGGCTTTCAGAATAGACCTTAGATAAGAACACACTGTGCCAGGCACGGTGGCATATGCCTGTGATCCCAGAAGTTGAAAGGATGAGGCAGGAGGACCATAAGTTCAAGGCCAGCCTCAGCAACTTAGCAAGGCCCTAAGCAACTTAAGACCTTGCCTCAAAATAATAATAATTTTAAAAAGGGCTGGGGATGTGGCTCAGTGGTTTAGTAACTGTGGGTTTAATCCCTGGTAACCCTCCACCAAAAAAAAAAAAAAAAAAAACAACAAAAAAAAAACCCTCATTGCCACCAGATTTGTTTTTGTTTTTGATTCTAGGGATGGAACCCAGAACCACACATATGCCAGGCAAGTGCTCTACCACTGAGTTACAACCCCTCCCTTTTTATTTGGAGACAGGGTCTCACTAAGTTGCCCAGGTTGGCCTGGAACTTGTGATCCTCCTGCCTTGACTTCTCAAGTAGCCAGAATTATAGGCAACTTCCAGTACAGGCACCCAGCTGCCATAGATTTTTTGAAAGGTCTTACGGCATGCTCTATGATAATTTTCTAATAAAACTATACAAGTTTTTGCCAAAAWAAATGGAAAAAAAAAAGGTATAGGAGCTGGTCCAGAGTCTTACAGCTAGCTGAGGGCATCGACAGGACTTGAACCCAGGTCAGCTTGACTTCAAAACCTGGGTTGGGGCTGGATGTAAGGCTCAGTGGTAGAGCACTGGCTTAGAATGTGTGACACCCCCTAGTTCTGTCCCCAGCAACAAAGGGAAGAAAATGGGCTCTCTCTACTACAGAATACCATATYATTCCAACGTATGAACTCTGACATCTTATGATTCGTCTTTAATTTCTCAGATCCTATCAACCAGGGCAGTAATACCAGTGAATGTTTGAAAACGATCTATAGTTTTCAAAGTAGCTTTACACAACAGCACCTGCAGGTGGGTCGCCTGTGGCTATGAAAACGAGGGCCTTGTGCAACAGCTGGGAAGCAGGAGAGGAGGGCCTCTTGATCACTTTTTTTTTTTTGCTCCCAGGATGGAACCCAAGGCCTCAGGCATGCAAAGCCAGCACTCTGCCATTGAGCCTGCACCCCGGTCCTGTCTGTTGCTTCTGTCTCCAACAATGCTTCCCAAGTGCTGATCCCTCAACTGACCGCTGCGCCACAGCCTGGAGAACACACAAAAAGCCAAGAGGGGCCAGCACAGCGACACACCTATCACCCCAGCTACTCAGGTCCAGACAGGAGGACTGCAAGTTCAAAGCCAGCCTGGGCAACTTGGCAAGATGCTGTCTCAAGATTAAGTTTTGGGGATAAAGTTTTAAAGATAAAGAGCTGGGGCGATGGTTGGCTGAGAGAGTGCTTGCCTAGTACATGTGAGCCCCTGGGTTCATTCCCCCGAAACCCCTCCTGCCCCCACTACAAAAAAAAAAAGAAAATAATAAAGTTTGAAACCCACTGCAAACCAACTGAATCAGAGACTGAGGTAGGACCTGAAAATGTCACATTGAATACGCACCCTCARTGATGCTAACAAGTTGAGCCCAGAAACCATCAACTAACAGTTCAGAAGACTGGATTCTCCTAGTCACTCCTGGTCCTGATATATTCCTGTGGCCCAGAATGGCTTGTCAGTGCACAAAGATGGAGCACCACAGCAGGTGAGCCAACTACCCAGAGAACAAGCCACTGTAAAGTAGGTAGCTGCGTGGAAATGTCTGAAACTTTTTTTTTTTTTTTTTTTTAATTCTGAGACAGGGTCTCACTAAGTTGCTTAGGGTCTCACTAAATTGCTGAGGCTGACCTTGAACTTGCAATCCCCCTGTCTCAGCTTGCCAAGCTGCTGGGAAAACAGGCATGTGCCATTGCACCTGGCTGAAATGTTTTTTTGGTTTTTTTTTTTTGATGCTGGGGATGAACCCAGGCCCTGGAGCATGCTAGGTCTGGTGAGCCATGCCCCAGTCCACTTCTGACAATTTGTTCCTGGGACTGTTGGTTCTATGATACCCACTTACTTGGTCAAGACAATAGAGACGGCATCGTTGAGAATACTTTCTCCAAACACCAGCATGTTGAGCACGGGGTCCACATGCAGAGCATTGAAAATGGCAATAGTGGCCACGGGGTCAACAGCAGATATTAGGGAGCCAAATGCGAAACTGGAAGAAGAGAGAAGGAAATCTTGAACACGATGTGCTTGGTCCACAGAGCAAAGCGTCCAGTCAGTGCCTGTTTCACACAATGTGAGGTGCACCAGCCGGAATACTGACAGGAGCTGGTGTTGGCCCACTGTATCTGCTGACTGGCCTTGCAGGTGGAGCAAGTCAGGCCCATTCCAGAAGGAGCTGCTAGGAATGGTCCGGTGTCCCCAGCAGCACTGTGACTTTATTTTGTCCAATGCTGGATGGAAGACTTTTGCCTACAAACACCACACACCAACCAGCCCTCCCAGTCAGAGCAGCTGGAGCCCAGTGGTTCACAACCTGCTGGRCCTGACCTCTGCCCCATGCCATTAGGTGGTCTTAGTGCCACCTGTGACCAACGCCAGTCTTCAGATTGCAATATCTAAGAAAGTGCCAAGCTGGGCATGGTGGCACATGCCTGTAATTCTAGAGGCTCGGGAAGCCAAGGCAGGAGGACTGCGAGTTCAAGGCCAGCCTCAGCAACCTAGCGAGGCCCTAAGCAACTCAGTGAGACCGTCTCTAAATAAAATATAAAAAGAGCTGGGATGTGGCTCAGTGGTCAGTGCWCCTGGGTTGRATCCGTAGCACAAAAACCAAGAAAGAAAGAAAAAAGCCAGGGCGACTCCAGGGGGTGGCTTGGGTGGCAGACACCAACACTGTGCTGGCTCCCAGCCAGGCCTTGGGACTCACAGACAGTGCCCAGGATGACGGAATTGCCTCCACCAAGTCACCGGGTCACCACTTGAACTGTTCCAGCCACTGAGGATTATCACAAAAGCAAGCTACCTGTGGCACACACTGGGCCCCAGCCCTGTCCCAGGCACCCTGCACACAGCTCCTCAGCACCCACGACGCAGAGGGTGTGGAGACAGCCCGGCTGCTGCCTGGTTGCAGAGGCCCGAAGGCAGACGGGTGAGGGGCTCACCCAGTCAGTCAGCTAACGAGGAGCAGGATCAGACTCGAACACAGACTAACTAGCTCCCTCCTGCTCCACCCACCTAGGTGACTATGGCACTAGCCAGAGACTCGGCCAAATTTAGAAAATGGCAATGTGTGACACAGGAAGTGAATGGGATGATGCGAGAACCAGTAGCCTGGCAGAGAGAGAGAGGTGTGAGAGCCCATCTGATTGAGGGGGCAGGGAAGGCYTCTCTGAAGAGCAGGAGCCTGTGTACGCAAGCACCTACGTGACAAGCAGCAGCGGGCAGGCCGGGTGACGGGGGCAGAGGTGACATCGAGTAGCCCAAGGTGGGAGCAAGCCTGGCAGGGGGAAAGCAGAGGAAGGTGCACATGGCAGGGTGGGTGGCCAGGGCAGGAGACCTAGAAGCTTGTGAGGGAGTCAGCCCAGGTCCCCTGGGGTCCTGCGGGCCCCAGGGAGTCGGGATGATTTACTGATGGCCCTTGGCTCCTCCTGGGTGTGTGCACTGGCCTACAGTGCTTCAGTCCCCTCCCTGCTGCGACAGTCACTTTCTCTCGACAATACAGAAAGCCTGGGGGGGGGGGGGTCTGGCCCTGCAGCAGAGTGGTAAGCCAGACTGTCACCAAGCTTGCAATCTGGGAGAGAAAGGAGCRACACTCAGCTTGGGGCAGAGAGTGCACTCCATGGACTGCCATCACCAAGCAGCCCCGAGAAGACTGCCCACGGGGTCCCASCTGGCTGCCCTGCTCATCACTCTCCCCCCAGTCACTCTCTCTCTGGCCCTGGGGTTTCCACGGCAGCACCCTGTGGAGTGTGAATCCAGGCAGGAGAGCCTGCAGCGCACCCTGAGGACAGACCCCAGAGAGCAGTCCCTGCTCAGGCTCAGCTCTGACTCCACCCGACCTGCATGTAGGCTGCCTGTCACCTTTGCTGTCGCCAGAATCCATGAAGGGCACAGCTCTGACACCTGTGCAAGGAAGGCAGGCAGGGCACGGAGGGGCGTGAAGAAAAGAGACTCCCAACCACCTGCGAGTGGGAGGCCCAGGCTGCAGCCTGCACAGCAGCCCAGCCTGGCCTTCGCTCTCACCCGGCCCCAGCAACATGGCAGGGAGCGTGGGTGCCAGCTGGGGGCTGGGTGGGGCTGCGTGCTGCACCCACACCTGTCTTGGTGACAGCCACACCTCCTTCTCCCCACTCCTGTCACCACGCGGCTCTAGACRTGTCACGGGGCCCAAGCTTGGACAATGAGAATATCACTGGAGGTCTGCGGTGCAGCCCTTTTGGCAGGGATGCTGACAAGAGGTGATGTGAGCCTGGAGCCATTGCCCTGGCACCCAGGGCAAGCTCACCAAGGAGCAGGCCAACCTGGGGGGGGGGGTGTCTGGGCTAAGGTGCAGTGACAGACAGGCAAGACTCCCACATGGTGGTCCCCATAGGGTGTCATGCTAGATGCCATCACCTTGGGGACACTTCGGTCCTGTAAACTTCTTCCTCAACAAACTTCTTCATCTGTTTTTTCTTTTACCTAAACCAGTTTGCGCTAGCTTGAGCTGCACAGTCGCTCTGGCATCCTGAGGCAGACAGCGAGGATCCACAGGGGCACTGGTGAGGGGCAGCAACAGGCCCCAGTCTTCAAAGGCCAGGAGCTACAAGTTCAACTTAAAAAAATGGGTCTTCTTTATTTTAATCACCTCAAAAGTTAGCAACATCAACAAAATGCAAAGAAAACTGTGGGAGGCCATCCTCGCACATCCTGGTGTCCAGAGCTTTCCCCACCCTTCTCGGGTCGGAGGGCTTGTCTGTGTGGAGGCGTGCCTGGCCACAGCCCCTGAAGACCCAATCGTCTCACCGGACCTTGGACACTTAATCTTCATTGGATGGGATTTTCCCCAGAATTTTTTGTTCCCCAATAAAAGTCCACTCCCTGGCGTGGACTCCTCTCTCTCGCTGGCCTCTTCATAAACCTTGACATCGTAATAGGCAGCTGGAGGCTGGGGGTACGGGAGGGAAGCCGCCCTGGGCTGGTTTAAAGGTAATTAGAGTCTGTCTCTAATTCAGACTCCCTTTGGATTTCCCACGAAGCCGAACCTTCACCTGAAAAGCCGGTGTCYGGGCTAAAGAAAACAGCCTGGGGTGGTGGGAAACCCGGGGTTTTATTTAGGGTGCGCTCTCTGTCCAGCAGAAACATCACTGAACCGCCACCTGTGCCACGGGGTCACCTTGTGTTTTCTGCCCTGCACAGGCTGCTYCAGGTGACCTGTGGGTCTCACTGTGGCCTACGTGTGCTTTTGGGAAAATGGCCTGCTGTCAACAACATCAACAACAAAAGCCTGGACCACTCCAGTCAGGTGCGGTGGCACACACCTGCCCTCCCAGCACCTTGGGAAGGTCAAGGAGGTAAAGCCAGCCTCAGCAACTCAGCGAGGCCCTGAACAACTTAGGGAGACCCTGTCCCAAAATCAAAAAAAAAAGGGCTGGGGATGTGGCCCAGGGTAAAGTCCTCAGGTTCAACTCCCAGTACCCAAAATAAAGACAAAAACTGGACCATTCTCTGTAAACACCTAGAAACTACAAATCTAGCCAGTTTTTAAAATAATTTTAACCCGTGCTGTGCATTGGAGAGCGTTTGCTTTGTGTACATGAGGCCCTGGGTTCAATCTCAGCACCAAAACAAAAACTTCAAACATCTAGTCATTGTGGGCCACATGTCCACTGGCCCACATTATGTGGAGGAGCTGAGAAGCACTGCAGCCCTCAGACATGTGTCTCCAGTGGCCACCGTCCCACCCCCACCACACGTGACACCTGCCCTCTGCCCGGGGCTGGGTGGGTCTGCTCCTACCGTTTGGCTGTAGGCGACTCTCTCCCCTCCCCAACCCCAACACCCCAACCATGGCTTCAATTCAATTTCACAAAAGTGACTCCGGCAGCATCSTCTCTAGCCAGTTGCCCCCAAATCTTGTCGAAGGTCTGAATGAGGACACCTGCCCTCATGTCAGTGGGGTGCGACCAGGGACCAGATGGGCTTTACTCTGCCTCCTAAGGAACAGGAGTGTGACTCCGGCTACTTCTTCATGTATCAAGACTTTCCCACAACAAGAGCTCCAATACTCATGTCTCAGGAGGGTGCGGGGGGCAGGGGGGACAGTGGAGGTGGAAAGGGGATGGGACCCGTCATCAGAGGCACATTTCTCATGAAAAGGGTTCTGAATTTTAGTCCCAAGGTACTAGGTTGCTGCTACAGTCTGGAAGCTCTAGCCGCGCGTATTAAGGACCTGGGACTGAGTCCTTAAGCCAAACCCAGCAAGCCACAAGGCCAGACCAGGAACCGAGGTGAGGGGGACACACCCCCAGCTGCACTGAGYGTGGAGCTTTGCTAGTCTGACCTCCTGGACCCAGCTGCCAGGGCTCACTCTTCTTTTTCTTTGAGATGGGGTCTGTGCCCTCACGCTCGCATGCCTGGCTCAGCCTCCTGAGTGACCGTACTACAGGCATGTGCCACCATACCCGGGCTGCTGCTTGCTAAGTGACTGAGATGATTTCTGGATAGGCTCCTAGGTAGCAGTTCACTGTGTAGTGTTCCCGGGGGCAGCTGCAGAGTGACAGGGACCCATGACAGGCCTACCTCAACCACCCCTCCTTCCTAATCTATCAAGAAGGCAGCCTTTCATCATGGCTACCGAAAAGACAGATTCGTTGAAAATAATTCTTAATAATGATAAAAGGACAGCAGTGCAGCATGTGGGCAGGGGTGGGGTGGGGTGGGGGGATGGGCGGACAGTGAACCGACCAGAGCTGGGCACCCAGAGCCGAGGCTAGACGAATGTTTCCACCAGCAGTGCTCTGACTAGACACCCTCAAAAGGGATCTTCACTATAATTTTGATTCACCTCAGAGACACAAATTAATTCAGAATAGATTCTGAAGCAGAGACCATCAGCAAGTGGGGAGGGAGAGAGGAAAGAGAGAAGTACCACACCCAGGAAGCAATGTGCAGAAAATTCCCAGCCTGAGCAGCAGTCACATGGAGCTACAGTGTGAAGGATTTACCTGTCTGTCATGTTGAGTTTAGAGATGACGTCAGCCTGTAAAATAAAACACACAAACACACAGACACAAAAAACCCCTGGAGAACAGCCAAGAAGACTAAAATGTCCATTAGTGCTTTRTTACCAACTAATAAGGACATTCATCTTCAGTCCCCAAACCAATTGAAAAATAAAGAAAACTAAGTTTCAGATACAGTGTGCATCCATCACAGTGTGCTTCAATCAGACCACAGAAGTATGGACACAGGGTACATTTTCCAAGCCCAATTAACTGCATGCAGTTTTCTTCTCTATAGTTTATTCCTCTTTGATACTAGAAGCTGAGCAACGAAGAAAGTGGCAAGGCAGACAGATTTATTCTGGTGCCCTTGAGGCAGCACTAAAGGTGAGGATCAGGTGGAAGGGGCTTTGGCTACCAAGAGAAGAAAACCCCACCACACCAAGCACAACCTGCCAGCAASTCAGTGCCTGAACCTCAACTTAAGTTCTCAGCACCAGGGCAGGCAAACCTGACAATAAAGAAACAGAACTGGGGGCRTGCATGGATGCACACCGTGTTAACCTACAGGAACCTGGTCTCAATTAATGCAAATTAACCAAAGTACAGAACACCCAACTGATGCCACTGTGAAGTGGCTCAGAATGGTGGAAAATCCAGAGCACAAAATTCTACAGGTGGACTGTTTAGAATTGAGCGAACGGATTCAGAATCATATTTGACTTAAAATGTAAATTTTTATTAAAAAACAACATTCAACACCAATTCTACCTATCAGACAACATAACTGATAACTGTTAGCAAATGAAAATCTTGATGGTATATACTCTGCTTCATTTTTAGATGTTTCAGTTTAAGACAACATTAGTTTGCAAATCAGATCAATACTTGAAAGATAATARGAGAGATTCACTCAAGTCCAGCCTCTTGGGGGACCCTTGGAAACGTCCCCATGCTACTGCCACATCTCCTGTGAGTTGGGATCTCCTCTAAAAATTGCAATCCCTGCCCAGGAGGTGCCCACCCTGCCCCCCACACAAGCTCCTGAATCTTCAAAGGCTTCCAAAGATGTTTTTCTTACCTGACCCAGAAAATAGATTCCTCCACCTACTACAAAAGCAGAGATCGCTGTACCAAAAACAGCAAACAGAGTGATGGAACCAATATTCTGAAAGAAGTTACCCTGTGTGAAAGAGCAGAGAGCAGAGAAACGGTCAGAGGGCTGGCTGCCGGGGAGGGTGGCCCTYTCTGGAGCTCCACTCTCAGGGCACCATCGCCTGCCCTGTATGGCAGGCTGGGAACCAGGGTCCTCCATACCCACGTCGGCATCCCCATGCCGTTCATGTCTCCCTGTGCCCCCCTCCTTGAATCACCTCTCACCCAGACCCCAGCTTCTTACAGCCCTCCCCAGCACTCTCTGAGCACTTCCAGAACGATCTCTGCCAAAGACAATCTGATGGTGCTGCCCGCACCCGACTCCCTCTGCTCCAGATGCAAATCCCAACCCCTGGTAAAGCCTCCGACCCCATCTGGCACCATGSTGTCCTTTGTTCTCTGGGTTCTGGTCACATGGAGGTCCTGCTACCTCTCATCACCCTAAGACCTCAGYGCACCTCCACTCCTCCTGAGCGAAGCCTTCCCTGTGCCTCAGCCAGCTCCCAGCTGGGCTCCCAGTCTATGTTCTGGGTGCACAATGGCCCTCTCCTGGTGGTACTGACCTGGCTGCAGTTTTATAGTTATTTATGTAACTATTTGATGTCTGACTTCCTCATAAGGCTCTGTGCTCAATGGGGACAATGACATTCGCTTTGCACACACAGTGACTGACATATTGCCTATCAGATGTCACTTGGTATTGAAGGAACCAACTGTGTTCCATGTCTGATCAAGCAAGTCCAAAATGCATATAATTATAATTTTAATTTAAGAAAAGGTGCACTACTAGGCTGGGGATATAGCTCAGTTGGTAGAGGCTTACTCGCATGCACAGGCCCTGGGTTCGATCCCCAGCCACACACACACACACACACACACACACACACACACACACGCAGTACACTCTTATAAAGAATGCCAAGATAACAGGTTTTTTTACTGTCCAGTTCTCTTCAATAATTTTGTCTCACTATTGGTATCATCTCAAATATGACAGATAAAATATATTTACATCTATCTTTCCCAACATTCAAGAGAAAATATTTCATCCCAAGTAGCAAAGTGACATCTTTCCAATCTCCACAGGATGAAGGGATGGGCTGTGGAATGGAATCCTATGGACCGACCCGGGGACCACTGCCCGGGGCCTGATGACTCTCACTCCTGGTGTGGAGAAGATGTCCTCTTTTTTTTTTTTTTTTTAGAGAGAGAGAGAATTGTTTTAATATTTATTTTTCAGTTTTCGGTGGACACAACATCTTCATTTTATTTTTATGTGGTGCTGAGGATCGAACCTAGTGCCCCACACTTGCCAGGTGAGTGCACTACCGCTTGAGCCACATCCCCAGCCCCAAAGATGCCCTCTTTTGCTCAGAAACTGTCACACCATGGACACCAGGAGCTGCTATGTCAAAGTCACTCTAAGAGTGTCCTCAGCTTGATGCTGATAGACCACTGAGCCCCTCTCTTTGAGGAAGCTGCTTGGCAACTCSGTTCTGGCTGCCCACACGGCTCACTGGGTCTGGGTTTGGCAAATCGGTCTCGGGTACACAAAGAGTTTTAAAACAGCTCAGTGAAAACACAATGTTGAGTTCTGTTTCTAAACAAAGGACTTTTATCTGTGAGTCTTTATAAATGGCTGGGGATGTAGCTCAGTTGGTAGAGTGCTCGCCTCATATGCACAGGCCCAGGGTTCAACCTACACACACACACACACACACAAAAAAAAAAAGAGTATTAATCACTCCTGCTCTGTTCACAGGGATCTAATTCTGATATGATTTTATAATTGGTTAATATTAATCTAGATATTAAAATTATCCTAATTCAAGCTACTCTGCCAGAAGAACTTCCCTATGCTACACAGCAAATTTATCTATTTCTCTGACATAATTAACATTATGTGACATTTACAATTTAAAGAAACAGTAGGGGYTGGTGTGTAACTCAGTGGTGGGGGTGGGGTGCCTGCCTAGAACACATGAGGCATTGGGTTCAGTTCTCAGCACTGCATAAAAATAAACAAATAAAACAAAACAAAGGTATTGTGCCTATCTACCAAAAAAAAACAAACAAAAAAAAAAAACAAAACCAGTAGCTGCTTACTTCACACACTGCTGCTGACAGTCTTCCTGAAATGTGTATTCTAAGTCAAATTTAAATTAGCAAATGCAGCAATATTAAAATAAAACATTCAAAGTCAACTTCCTATCTTCTCAGGGGGAAAGTGGAAGTGGACAAGTCTCTGAATTGATATTTCCTGCTCACATCAGACTGTCCCATCCATCCATCCATCCATCCCTCCCTCCCTCTCTCCCTTCCTTCCTTCCTTCCTTCCTTCCTTCCTTCCTTCCTTCCTTCCTTCCTTCCTTCTTTTTTTTTCCTCTTGGTATCAGGGATTAAACCCAGGAATACTTAACCACGGAGTCACATCCTAGCATTTTTTATTCTTTATTTCGAGAAAGGTCTCACTAAGTTGCCTATGGCCTTGCAAAGTGGCGGAGGCTGGCGTTGATTTGATCCTCCAAACCATCTCCCTCAAGTCAGTGTGAACACTGGGACCAGCCACAGAAAACAGACATACTATAAAATCAAGTAAATAAAAAACAGGAATGTTTTTCTAAAAAACTATTATTTTCCTCAAATTTTAAACAAGCCTGTCTCCTCTCCCTCAAAAAAACTAGAAAATAAAAATTGTACATACTCTAATATTCAAAATGTCATGTTTTRAATTCAAAACGAGACCAATTTCTTCAGCATTTAATATATATATTTTGTTGTAGATGGACAAATACCTTTACTTTGTTTTTATTTACTTTTCTGTGGTACCAAGGATGGAACCCAGGGCCCTGCACGTGCTAGGCAAGTGTTCTACCACTGAACCATAACCTCAGCCCCTCCTCAGCATTATTTTTTTAAAAGTATTTTTYAATTGTTGATGGACATTCATTTATTTATTTATATGTGGTACTGAGGATTGAACCCAGTGCCTAAGATGCTAGGCAAGCATAGCACTGAGCTATAGCCCCAACCCTCTTCAGCAGTATTTTGAAATATTTTCATAATCTGCTTGTCCACTTCCACTTTCCCCCTGAGAAGATAGGAAGTTGACTTTTTAAGATTTGTTTACAAAATGAAGG